CTTTAGTTTATGTAGTGACCGCAGAGAAGCCCAGCACCGTTGCCATGACGATAGCTTGACGTTGCGTGTAATTTCTCACGTTGCGTTTATAGTCTCTGGCGGTAACGGCCTCTCCCCCTCCGTTTTAAATAAATTACTCACCCTCTTAATCGTCGCGACTTCGATATATTTTATCCACTCGCTTCCTCCGCTTGATTTATTCCCCTCGGTGAAGTTAAAATCATTGAAGAGAGCTTGCATCGGAATTGTATCTGACACGATTTCTAAGAATGTTGGATACCGACCATAGTGATACACAGATAGTACGAAAATCGTTTCTGACGTAACTTCAACTTTTTTTCTTTAAATACGATTTTTGAATGTTTTTCATTGTCAAAGTCACTGGCATCTTTTTATGTAGGAATCTTTTTATTTCTATATCTATCACGCAGCTCGTGAAAAAGTACATCCAGATATGGTTTTGTATTTAAAGATTTTGAAATTAGCGTGTAACTTTTCTTCGACATTGACGAGTATAAATTTCCAAACGCGAAGCAACGGGATCAACGTTGTAGGAGAATGTTAAAAATAAGCAGTCGCCTCGGCCAAGTGTTCGTTCCAGTCGAACGTTTCCGAATAATTCAAGCAATCCGGCCTCTCGAAACGCTCGAGAGGCGTGAAGCCGAGTCCACAACAAAACAGGAAGCAAGCAGAGTCCCTTCTCTGTTCCCCAACGTCGAAGTTGTCTCTCATTTGTATTCCCTGATTTCCGGCTCGGTGTCGGGGACCGGGCACCTCGAGTCACAGCAATCTGTTCGGCGGGTCCTTTGAGAAGCAGGTTAGGAAGGATCTACTCGATTATCGGAAGTAATTAAACTCACCGTCCGGACTGCCATCTAGAACGCATAATTAGAACGTCGGGATTCCAGCGGCGATTAACTCGATTGCTCCTTTCCAACGAATCGAATATCTCCAAGACTCACTCGAGCGACAAAAAAGAAAGGGCATAGGGGGGGAAAAAAGACAGGCAAAAACGTATAAAACGTGATTTACACTTTGACACTGTCTGACACCTCTCTCGACCCAGTTAGTGCTCTGTCTCGATTGTGATTCCTCGCCCAGACGATTCGAAAATTAATTTCAAACCGGTTAGACCAGTCGACGTTGTTACGAGATTGAGAATCGAGGCTTGCGCGAGAAAAAGATTATAAATTTTGATATATATTTGACGGAGGTTCTGCCAAAAGCTTTCGCCCTTTCGCAGATGAAATTCACCCTCAAGCAAGTCAAATCTCATCTCACGAACGGGCGACTTGAGACTGAAGTAATACAAAGATTCTATTTCTCATTTTACTTTATTCTTCAAAAGTTATAATTCTGTGCAAGAAATTGATTCTACAGATTGTCAGAACTGCCATATGATTACGCTATATATAAAATCATGCAGCGCGTTACATATGTGTATAGAAATACCTTCAGTGATAAATAAATGTTTTAGTTACAGTAATTAGTTCTTGTTTAAGCGTCAATAAGATTTTATATTTATTGCAACGAATTTGTAATGAAAAATCTAAGTACCAGAGAATATTTCTATATAGAATAGACATAATAAGAATAATTTCTAGTATTATTGGTATTGCTTTAAAGAGTAAGTTTATTTAAATCGAAAAATTCCTTCGATTGATCAAAGTAACGCGTCATTAACAATAGTTGCCTTATCGAGGTTGCTCGTTCTAATTTCGCCAAATCACAGCACGTAGAAAAATTTAACCCCTCTCGGAGTTTTAATAACATCCTTGTGTGAAACAGGGTGAAGGGATAGGACGATCATTTAATAACCATAATCGTTCTGTTTTTGGTAAACGTCGAGCATTTCGTAGGTGGCTCACGAGCAAGCAATTTTCGAGGGTTGCAGAATAAAAGGTTTAATTGAAAGCAATAAGTCTGTGTGTGTGTGTGTGTGTGTGTGTGTGTGT